TTATCCTTTTTTTTAGAGTGGCATTACTATTGATACCTTTAGAGATATTGAATTCTCTGGAAATCCATTTAAAAACCAAGTATTATTGAACTAACTACTAATTGTCTTGTTCATTTAGTTGATTTATCTTTCTTTAATTATAACAATGGCTTGTGTAGAGGTGGTGAATTTAGAAAGAACACAATATAGTTTAGATAATTTTGACATGGTATTGGTTTTCAAAGATTATTCACAACCACCAAAACATATTAATAGAATTTCAATGAATCAATTAGAAGACATAAAGGAATGGCTATATTCAATGAATATTTTATATTATGAAGGAACACCAGATTTAAGTTGGACACAAATAATGAGAAATATTAATCAAGATGCAATAGGATTTTATAAAAATGGTGGTTGGTCATTTTTAGATATGGATGAAAAGGATGATGATTCGGAAACACAATCAGATTCAGTAAGTGAATTTGAGCCAACTGAGAATGAGGAGAATTATAATGAAGTAAGTTCCATTATCATCATTATAGATAATGTTGGAATTCATTTTATTATTTTGTTTAATAATTTACAGAGAGCAGTGATTATGAAGAAGAGGAGGAAGCTGTTAGTATGAAATCAGCAGGTCCAGGAGAAGCAAGTGATGAATCAACATTAAACTGGGATAAACTCAAAGAAAAGATTTGTAAAGGTTTGTATTGTATATACTTTAATGATTTATTTTTAAAAAAATAATGATAGTTTAACAACATCGTTTATTACTAGTTGATAAGAAAAGACAAGAAATTAAGCATAAAAATTCTAATGATGTTCATGGTAGTAGTAGTACAAACACAAATAAGAAACCTCGTCAAAGTTGATTGATGAAAATGATTTCAATTAATTAATAATTTTTAGTTTTTTAAATTTGCTATAAATACATATAAAAGATTTTTTCATAATCTTTAGAGTATTATTGGTCTGATTTGGTAAGTGAATTGAAATGATTGGTAAACTACTATGGTTTTGTCCTTTTCCATTGTTCTCTATACAGACAGGTTTCCTAACTTTCTACAAATTGCCTGATACTGTAAATTACATATCACAGGATTTATAAATAAAATTTTAATTGGAAATCAAAATGTGGAGCAGATCTTGCTGGTGTAATTACAAGATTTTCATTGATAATATTTTGCTTTTTGTAATCCATATTATATATTATTTATTATTATATAATTACAAGATGTCAAGGCAGCATTGACTGTTGAAAAAGAAATATTTCAAGTATGCAACATTTGATTACAGGAAAATAGCAGGCATTGAAGCACGCACGCTACCTTGAACACTTTACAGTCATTCTCACTATTCCTTGTGTACATAAGGCTAATCTGACTTGCAACCCCTCGATGATACAATGATGCTGCAGAATTCCAGGGGAGGGATGCAATGCCCTGGAGTTACATTGAGACTTCACCAATCATCAATGACGCTTCACTAATTTTCTCTCACAGTACCCAGACCAGAGATGGCTGCTGCCATGCTAGCCAAAAAGTTGCCTGCAATGATCCCACCTCTAGGGTAAGGATGGCACTGTGACCAAGTCACAGCTCTGTTGATGAATATTATGAGAATCTGCAGCTTGTTCAAGCTCAGGAGGTCACAATTCAGAGCAGGGTTGGTGGCCTGAAATTGCATTTGGACCCTGATGTTAAGAGGAAAGTTGTAAAATAGTGTTTGTTTTGTATAATCACTTTCCTAAATTCTCTGTTTTCTTGATGCTAACCAATTTATGATTTTGGATAGGGGACTGGATTGGGTTTTTGCCCAATCAGTCCTCTGTCCTGTAGGTTAAAATTATCACATGATTATATACATCCTTGTCAGCAATATGGCCGACAAGGAAAAAGTTATAAAATGGTTCAGATTTTGTTTGGTATGTTTTGTTATAAGTTAATCATTTTCCCAAATTTTCTGCTTCTCTTTAATTTTTATCTGACCAACTGAATTTGTTATTTTAGTAAATGGGG